ACGGTAACATGGTACAACATTGTTATCCAATTATTGTTTTGATATAATGGATTCGCTTGATTTGATAGTATAAATGTTAAATTATTCTAATTTAGGATCAGATTGATAGAATAGAAAATTATTATATTAAATAATTAAATTATAACTCTTGGAAAGAAAAAGTAACTTATTTATAATTTAACTTGTAACACCCCCAACCCGTATCCGACCCGGATCCGAGTCCGAGATATCACATTGACTTTTCAAACTTAGACTCTTAAAGAAAATCATGAAAATTTTAAACTTCCATTAAAATAAAAAATGTTAATTCACACAAGTTGGACCAAAATAAACAAAATCAATCAGAGCATTAGTAATTCACAATTTCGTTACATGCCAACACACTATATACAATCAAATATCTACACTTAACTACAATTCTGATCTGATATTGGAAAGGAGAGTCTGACCTGTCTCGCTCCTCTTCACTTCTCCTCTCGCTTTTCAGAACCTACGTGTGAAACACTCACACGCTAAGTCGATGACTTAGTGAGGCAAATAAACATATAATGTAAACTATAACTTGTAATCATGCATGAATAATTACTGTTATTATATCATACCACTCATATCCTTATTCATGTAACAAATACACTACATACATACATACATGTCATTATCATTCATATATCTTATTCTCTTGTTCATATAATCTCTCATGTTCATATCATATATCTTAACATGTACTCACTTATATCATATAACATATACAATCAAGCAACTATATCATCATCTTTATTTTTATCACTATCATAGATTCCTTTTATCATATGATCTTATAATTACCATTTGTACAATCATATATCACACATAACATTTCACAAGGAAACAAACATATCATCATATCAAGTTTATTTATATTATCTCTTTATTAGCCCATGTATACATGTGAGAACTAAAGATATGCGAGTACATAGAGGTTGTGCACTATGTTGTCACCACAGCTCGTATAATTCCCTCAAGGGGCACTGAATATTTGTCCCGAAAGACCACTATGTCCCGAAAGACCACTATGTCCCGAAGGACCACTGATTGTTCCGAAGAACCACTATGTCCCGAAGGACCACTGTTTGTCTCGAAGGACCACTGATAATCCCTCGACTTTTGACATGCCAACTATACCCCTAGCTCTCATATCACATAACATAGGCATTATCTTTTATATCGTTACACATCTTCACATAGCCACATAGCTTTTCACATAACATTTCCATTTGCACATGTAATTACTTAACTTATTTTCATATAGCTCATGTTCCATATTCATATCTCATAAGCACATAGCTCATATTACTTATATTCACATATACATTCACATCACTAATTCATATAAGCTCATGTATTCACATGGGTAATTTCTCATAGCATATAACATAGCTTCACAACTCATCTCATATAATTTTATGCATATACCCTTATATCAATACCATATAACTTATCTTGCCGATTTGCATAATCCCTTACAACATACAAAGTTTATACTAATTCCTTATATTTACTTAATTCAACCTCACATATTTTATTATCTAAACCTATATTCACATATGATTTCCTATATAATTCTTATATAACTACTATTAAATGTTAGTATAATAACTTATGCCAGTGTTTCTTAGTTACATTTGATTCTCATTTTCTATCATATATATACAACAATGTTACTCAACTTATTTCAGTCTTCATTTAATCACATGAGTCCATCATATTAGTTACATAGAATCTAACTTACATAACTTATACTTGGTTATCATATTTCACATAAATCATTGCCATACAATATACTATATGTCATATAGTTCCCTTCCACTTATAACATTCCCTAGAGTTTGTGTACACTTATTATATATTTTACCCATGGTTCTTTTATCTTCTCCTAGTCATATAGACCCATAATTCCTCATTACCTAACCTATATTACATATCCATATAATTATGGGTATTTATACCACCAAACCACTTTCTCTTGTTATTACTTAAATCTTTATTATCTACATAGTTCATGATCATATAACCTATATCATCTTCTTATCTAATCACATGAATTAGATATATATTTATATATATATATATATTCATATGATTTACTACTCTAACATATATCCATACATATCATAACATATAACACATATACTTATACCAACCACATGTTTATATTCATTAATTCATGCATTCTAATATAGGAAATAGACTTAACACAAGTCTTATTTCTATGAATCACCATATACAATACACTATGCACTCACCTTAGCCTTGCTTTGGTTTGATCCTAATTTTTCAATTGTTCTGGAACAGGATTACGCTCTAAACCTACATAGTAATACATTGATACGTATCAATATACTAATTGATATCTTCTAAACTATCACTTATTGGGCTAAAAGAAAGACTATTTTCATCTTTTAATTAAGGTATGCATCGATGCACTCTACAGTGTATCGATGCATTCCTTAACGTGTGCATCGATGCACTACCTGTGCATCGGTACACCATTTACATTCGATGTTTTCTTCTTAAGGGGGTGCATCGATGCACTCCTTATGCATCGATGCACTAATTGCATTTGATGTTTATTTATTTGAGAGTGCATCGGTACCCATTGAAGATGTACCGATGCACACAACCCATAAATGTCATTTTGAACACGAAAATCCCTTCATTTCCTCTCAACACTTCATATTTCACCTTCTTTAATATTCCTAACTTTCATACACATATTTACACTTATTTCTACTTAATAATCACTTCTTTAACCTCTCAATCATATCCTTTATATGGCATTCAAGAATCATACGCAAATATCAACATGTTCCAAATCTTATTCTAACACTTCATATTCCTTATTTAGATTGATGACAAGTCAAATTCAACTTCCAATTCTAATTATCAACTCTATATCAAGATTTCATTCAAGAACTCTTAATCTTTAATCTCTTCTAATTCCATCATCTTTTTATTTTAAGATAACTTAAGCTTAACTTAAGCTTTCCTTAAGCTTAGTTATCATCGAATGATCGAAACCCAACTTAAATTTCAGCTAATAATCAACTATTAAATATTACCTTTGCAAGTTGGAGTCAACGGCTGGGAGAAGAAAGAAGAAAACTCTGGAGAAATCTCTCATTTCCCCACGTGGTTCCCTTATCTTATAAGAGGGAAAAAATATTTTTCATGCTAAATGACCATTTTGCCCTTTGATTCCTTTAATACTTACTAAAACCTTCAGGAAATATTTCTGAATAACTCACTGAACTATTCAAATATCCTACTTTAATCACCACATTATGAAGTTTTACAATTTAGTCATTAACTCATAGTTTGGGATGTTACATAACTAATAACTGAATGATTTGGGATTCGATTTACCCAATTAAATTGTATCTTGAATCACACTTTAAAATGTAAATAAACCTTGCAAAATTAAAATTCAATATCTTTTATTTTCTTGAGAAATAAAATTTCAGTAATAACAAATACTAAAATCCGATAGGATTTTATCACTGCAAAAGGAAAGTCAAACTGTGGTGACACTGACTTCTATGACAGTTTCCACCACAAATTCCAGCATCCCCTATTTTTGGAAAATGAATTACTTTACAAAATAAATAAACAAATAAAACCCTTAAAAGTATGGTCTCCAAAATCCAAATTGGCGGCTTCTAAATTGTCTATTAGTTCACATATTAATTGGTTAAAGTAATATTTATAAAATATTAACTAATAGATGTGAGTAAATATTTATTTAATAAATTAAATAATTTTGATGTAATTTAAATTAATTTTAATATATATAAAATTTGATTTTATGTAAATATATACATGAATTTTTAATTTTATATAATTTTATAAATTACTAAAATTATTTTTTATATATTATTATTTTATATTTAAATATTATGTAAACTAATAATTATATCTATTCAATATAATTTTTTAGAATACATTTGACTAAAATAATATTAAATTTATACATGTAAAATTGCACTAAAATCAAATTTTAATGTGTATAGTTACATAAAATAAAATTTATATATAAAATTTATGTGTAATTTTTATATATATCATTTTTAAAATTTAATAACGATATACTGTAGTCAAATTTGTTGACGATATATGAATTTACGCTCCAGATATTAATTCTTAATAATTTATTTAAGAGTTAATTATATTAGATGTCTCTAAACTATAACTCTTATTTTAAATTAGTCCATAAATGTTTGAATGTTTTAATTTCATCATTAAATTATGATTCTTGTGTTGAATTGGTCTCTAAAATTTTTAAAATTTCAAATTCATACCTAAACTATGACCCTCATTCTATATTAGTCCCTAAACTTTTAAATATTCTAATTTCATCCTTAAATTTTCGAATGATTTAAGGTTTTTTTAATAGTCTAGAGTAATTACAAGGTAATCTATGTTCATAACTTTCTTAACCAATTAACAACACACACACCTTGCAGACGCAACTGCTCGAACCCATGACCTCTAGGGAGAACAAAATTTCCTTTAATCACTGAGGCCACTTGATGGCCGTTTTAGGGGACATTATTTGAATGTTCAAATATTTGTGAACCAATTTAAAATGAAGGTTATAATTTAGGGATGAATTAAGAATGTTCAAAAGTTAGGGGATCGATTTAAAATGTGAGTCATAGTTTAGCAATGAAATGAAAATGTCAAAAGTTTAAAGACCAATTTAAAATGAAAGTCATAATTGGAGGATGTATTGTGCAATTAACACTTTATTGAAATTAAAAAATCCACCGTCTGAACGTCAAATATCCTTCCGAGACTCTTCAAGTGAACTCCTCAGTCTACTATGACAAAAAAGAAAAAGAAAAAAATAACAGTATTAAGTCTATCCAAACTCTAAAGACTATTATATCCTCCATCTTTTGTTTCCATGCACTTGTTATTTTCCTTGGTTTTTTCTATATATATTAACTTATTAGGCACCAAGTTCAAGACACAACCTCTTAATTAACCATCGATCTTCGTTGAAAACAATACCACTTGAATCCAAAAAATGGTGGTTGCAGCGCCAGGTTACGGTGGTGCCACCATGCCAAGCTCAAAGAGCTTTGCTCTTCAGATCCTAACAGGGCCATGGCTCATGGTTTTCGGCTCACTGTTAATCATGTCAGCTGCTGGAGCAACCTACATGTTCAGCCTATACTCCGGCGACATTAAAGAGTCACTAGGCTACGATCAAACCACTCTCAATTTGCTCAGTTTCTTCAAGGACTTAGGCACGAACGTCGGGGTCTTATCGGGGCTCATAGCCGAGGTCACGCCGCCTTGGTTCGTGCTATCCGTCGGTGCAGTCCTGAACTTCTTTGGGTACTTCATGATTTGGTTGGCCGTGACCAAAAAGATCGCCACGCCACAAGTGTGGCACATGTGTTTGTACATATGTATCGGCGCCAACTCGCAGTCTTTCGCCAACACCGGTTCTCTGGTCGTCTGCGTTAAGAATTTCCCGGAGAGCCGAGGCGTCGTGCTTGGGATTCTCAAGGGTTATGTTGGCCTGAGTGGTGCGATCATAACTCAGTTGTACCATGCTTTTTACGGTGACGATACGAAGGCGTTGATCTTGTTCATCGGTTGGCTTCCGGCGGCTATATCGCTTTGTTTCGTGCGAACGATTCGGATCATGAAGGTGGCGCACCAGGCAAATGAGCTGAAAGTTTTCTATAAGTTTCTTTATATCTCACTTGGCCTTGCTTCTTTCTTGATGGTCATCATCATCGTGGAGAAGAAATTTGTTTTCACTCAACCTGAATATGGTGGCAGTGCTGCCATGGTTCTTTTCTTGCTGTTTTTACCTCTTGGTGTTGTGATTATCGAAGAATACAAGCTTTGGGAGGCTAGAATTAAGGCCTTGAACGACCCCAATTCTCCATTGAAAATCATCACCGAGAAGCCGATTCCGGAGGTGTCCAGGGACAACACTACCGAGACGATGTTGGCCGCGAACGATTCGAGCAGCAGCACTCGAACCGATGATGTCTCATGCTGGAAAACGGCGTTCCAGACACCAAACAGAGGAGAAGACTACACAATCCTGCAGGCACTTTTCAGCCTTGACATGTTAATCCTTTTCTTAGCCACGACTTGCGGTGTTGGTGGCACTTTAACGGCGATCGACAACCTCGGACAAATCGGAGGCTCCTTGGGGTACCCTAAAAGAAGCATAAGCACATTCGTTTCACTAGTGAGCATATGGAATTACCTAGGCAGAGTTACATCAGGTTTTGTCTCGGAAATCTTTCTGACCAAATACAAGTTCCCCAGGCCTCTAATGCTCACCTTGATCATGCTCTTCTCATGCGTCGGACACCTTCTGATAGCGTTCGACGTCCCCGGTGGCCTCTATATTGCATCTGTCATCATCGGTTTTTGCTTCGGCGCTCAATGGCCTTTACTTTTCGCCATCATCTCCGAAATCTTCGGACTCAAATACTATTCGACTTTGTACAATTTCGGGTCCGTTGCGAGTCCCATTGGCTCCTACATGCTCAACGTGAAAGTGGCTGGAAATTTGTACGACCGAGAGGCGAAGAAGCAAATGTCAGCTTTAGGTCTTGTGAGGAGAGCCGGTCAGGATCTGGATTGCAAAGGGGTTGATTGTTTTAAACTGTCTTTCATTATAATCACAGCTGCTACCTTGTTCGGCACGGTTGTGTCACTTATTTTAGCACTTAGGACTAGGAAATTTTATAAGAGTGACATATACAAGAAGTTCCGGGAGGACGTGAAAGCGGCGGAGAAGGAGATGGCAGCAGCCGGAGACAGTATTTTATTGCCGGAGATGAAATCTTCTGGTAACGACGTCAACCGACTGGAGACCAAGACAGGGTAGGTTTTGTTTCACTGTTGTAAAATTCCTAACAAGTGGGATATAAGATATAAGTAAATGACTCAAATATGGGAGGCAATGTCATTGAATATTTGATACAAATAGGATTTCTTTGTAATTTTTTAAAAAAGTTTATGGGTATTTGTGTTAAAAACAAAAGGTTTGGGGTTATTTTAGAAAAAGAAAACACTGCAACTTGGCAACTGTCACAGGTACAAGTTTTTCTTTGTCTATCGGCCATGGAAATAAATTATATAGTACATTTGGACCCACTCTCAATAACATATGCAAATATTATTGGAGATATTATATCCGGAAATAACCGGCATCTGCACAGAGACTTCTCAAGTCTTTACAAGTTTGTCCTTTTCGATGACTATATTATTCAAATAGAGCCTCATCTTTTACAGATGTTTTGTATAACGACTTTATTATATATTTTGTCTTGAAGGTTATACTAAATTGGACAGATAAAAATACATCATATGACAGGTGACAAAAATAAATATAAAATGTATAATTGGGGCTTATTAAATACCTTTAATGGTAAAAGATAATAATATTCTTTCTAGAAATCATGAATTTGAGCGGTTGCATTCGTAAATCGTGGTTTATTACGTTTTTCATCCACTCGAATTTGTTAAAATTTCACTACAATTCCTTCAATTGTATGAAAATTTTCAACAAGACCCAAGCATTACGGAAGAAGAAGATGGATGAAGGGAGGAGGAGGAGGAAAAGAAGCATGCCACATGTATGTTTTCATTAATCCATTTTTAATGAGGTTAACCGAAAAGAAAATCAAAAATTAAATCATAAAAATTAAAAATATGAACCTAACCATATGTGCGCTCTACCTTCCGAACAACATCAGAAGATAATATTACAATTCTATTAGTGTTGAGACAACCCAATCATCTAATGATTTATTTAGTATCAATGATATAACAAAATATTGTTCTCTTTAATTCGACCAGCTGTATATGTAAGATGTGTGGGCATTATCAGTAATAAAAAAAAGATTTTAAACATATACTATATTATAATCACCTAATACTAATAAAAAAATTACAACTTCGACGAATAATAATCTAACTGGGATTTTAAAAAAAATCACCAAAGCAATGATTAGTTAGCATACTTTCTCAAAGACTTTATGCACCAAAAATGAAGTCTTCTAATAATGGTGTCCATCAGAGATAAATGTAATATTTTATATTAAGAAGGCGAATATATGAAAATTTAAGTGATTAAAAATAAAAATTATTAAAAAATAAATTATATAAAAATTTAAAATTTTTAGAGATCCAATTTTTTTTCGTTCATCTTCGACATCCATGGACTATTTTAAAATTCCCAGCAAGTGGGATATAAGATATAGGTAAATGAAAAAAAATTACGAGTGATTGACTTTAACAAGGATAGGTTTTTTTTGTTGTATTTTTTTAAATATGGCGTTTTGCGTTAAAAATATTAGGGTTATTTTAGAATAAAAAAATTACAGGGGTTTTTAAATATAATAATTGGCAACTGTCATGTTGACTATACTGATCTTTAGCAATTAATTTTCAAACTTCCCTGAATAGATATCCATTCACATAAATTGAAATACGATTCAATGATTTGAAAATAGTACTAATTGAATATTCCCAAATGACAGCAACAATGACGTAAAAATAAATTTAGGTAAACTACACATTTAATACCTCAAGTATTACTTTTATTCCGTTTTGGTCACCTAACTTTTTTTTTATAAAATCATATCTAAGGTTTAATTTTGTTTTCATTTTGGTCACCCAATGTTATAAATTCAACAAACTGGTAACGTGACATTTTTTTTATTTTTCAAAGATGATCTGTCATTATCTTATGGTGACACATCAACATTATCGTTAATATTTTAATGATGAGTGCTCAAAATGAAACCAAAACTAAATGTTTGGTATGATTTTGAAACAATAAATAGTTGGATTATTAAAACAAAACAAAAGTGATAGTTGGGCTGATAAACACATAGTTTACCCCATAAAATTTTATATAAAAAATAGTATCTAGAAACCCCATGTGGAAACACTGTGTCATAACACCCGGTACAAATTATTTTTAAAACTGTTAATATTGATCAAATAATCATATTTATTTAATTTTTTGTTTAAAAAATTTAATTGAGAATACAAAAATTAAATATTAATTTAAACGTATTGGGCATAAACTTTGAATTTAAAATATTTTAGGGTAAACTACACAAATGGTACACTGAGTATAAGATACTATTTTGTTGAGTCTTCTGACTATTAAAAGTTATAAAATGATTAACTGATTATTCACTATGTTTTATACTCATCTTTTTTTTGTTAAAAAATTAGCGAGATTCTAAGTTTGACATTAACATGCTGACTGATATATGATAAAATTTGATCTCATAAAATCAAAAGATCAAATTTTATCATATCTCAGTCAGCATGTTAACGTCCAACTCAAACAATCGTTAATTTTTTAATAAAAAAGTCCGAGTTTGGAATATAATGAATAGTCGAGTGATCATTTTGTAACTTTTCATAGTCGATGGACTCAACAAAGTAACCCCTATAATTAGGGGACTATTTTATAACTTTTAATAGTTAGAAACTCAATAAAGCATTATCTTATAGTTGAGGATCATTTGTATAATTATCTTATATTTTAATGATTTTTTTTTATTTCAAACTGGGACTCATTGATTCTGACGATATTTATTTATTATCTTTGATGAAGTTTGAATAAGGTCCAAGTTTTGTTTTATTTTTTCAATTGTCCCGTGGGAATAAATTATGTAATACATTTGGACCTACTCTCAGTTACATATGCATAAAGACGTTTCAAGTCTTTCCAAGTTTATCTGTTTTACTAGTTAAATATCTAAAATAGTATTTACCCATTTATAGACTGTTTAAGTAATGATTTTATTATATATTTTGGCTTTGAACGTTAAATATGAATCAATAAAAATATTTTATATGTCAAGTGACTAAAATAATTAGAACATTTAGATTTTAATTATTGTAGAAAATTTTAAGCTAAAATACACTTCTTGAGTATAACACGTTGCTTTGTTGAGTTATCGATTATTAAAAGTTATAAAATGGTCTCTCAACTATAGGATATTTTTTGTTGAGTCCCATGACTATTAAAAATTACAAAACAATCATCTGACTATTCAAATATTCCAAACTAGTTATTTTTCGTTAAAAATTTAATGGTTGTCTGAGCTGAACATTAATCTATTAACTGAGATATGATAAAAATCATATTTTAATGATTTCTACTGGTAACGTCATTGCTTTCAAGCACTGGCTTGACGATATAATGATTAAAGCACGAGCTCGATGACATAATATAAACAAAGATTTAATCCACAAAATATAGCTCAAACAGTTTTGGGATTAGATTTTATCATATCTCAGTAAGCATGCAAATTAACTGCAAACTCATATGATCGCCATTTTTAACGAAAAATAACGAGTTTGGAACATATGAATAGTCAAATAACTATTTTGTAACTTTTAATAGTCGGGAAAACTCAACAAAGCAACACTATCAAGAGATCATTCTATAGCTTTTAATATTTAAGAGTCTCAACAAAATAACGAGTTAAAAGACCATTTGTGTGCTTTTCCCAAAAATTTGATGATAAAACCAATAGAACCATTATATTCGGGACAGACGTGTGTAGGGCTCCCTACGTCAACGCCCTCGTGCATGCTTTCCACTTGTATATATACAGCTCATTTCAAAATTCAATGCTACACATTTTCTTATAGTTAAAATTTGTAATATAATTAAACATTTTCCTTCCGATTTTAGTATAGATACTTATTTTTTTTATTAGCTTGATTGATATTATTTTCGATATATCATATGAATGGTTAATATTAAACGCATTTAAAATGAATATTTTTTCTTGAAAATTCATTAAGGTGGTGTTTGTTTTTGCAGAGGTAAAATGTATGCAGTATGCGGATCACATCTGCAGCAGAAGAGGTGGACCAAAAGTCTGCAGTTTGCAAGAAGAATACTGTTTGTTTTTTAACGTATGCAGACTACTAAAATAAACTTAAATATAAATAAACTGATTTTTTAAACTTAAAAGAATTTTGCAATACGGAGATTTAAATAATTTTAGTTTTACAATACTGAAATTTAAATAATTCATTCAACTATAATAATAAATATTTTAGAAAAACAAACACCACCTTATTAATTCTATTATAAGTCTCACATAATCACATGTATTATTAGTTTTATAAGTTTTATAGAATAAAATTTATAAATGATCATTAAATTATATGATTTTTTTTAAATATGCAATTATGTAACACTTTTAATTTTTTTAAATATATATTCATAATTTATTTTTATAATTTTAGAAAATATTTTTTAATTTATCAAATTATTTTATGATTATTTTTTATTTAATTGTGATTATATTTTAAAATTTTAAAAACATAATTTATATTTTTTTTATATTTTAAAATCTTAATTATCAAACAATGAAATAATTTTTTATTAAGCAATGTGGTTTAAATACTTACATTTTGTATAAAAAGTTTAAATATAATTTAAAAATAACAAATCCAAAAAAAATTATATTTAAACTTAAATCAAAATAATTAAAATAAATATAAAATTTTAATAATATATAAAATAATTTATATGATATAAAATTAAATATCTATAATATAATATTAAAAAATTAATATTTAATTTATTTAAAAAATCAATATTAAAATTAATATCTATAATATAATATTAAAAAATTAATATTTAATTTATTTAAAAATATTAATATTAAAATCAAAATCAAATATAATATAAAATTAAATATAAAACCTCTTTGAAGAGGTTAGAAGACGTTTCCAGACATAAGGCCACGTCTGCGTCGCGTAGACCATGCGCAGACGTTAGAAGAGCTTCTGTCTTCTAAAAAACAAATGGTCTGCGAAGTCCAATGTCTACGCGTGGTCTGCGCGGCGCAGACATAAGTACTTTGCAGACCTTACACAGTAAAAACAAACACCACCTAAGTGATTTAAAATTGTAAAATAATATATTGTTATTTTTATAAGTTCTGGATGTGAGCAATTGTATCTATAGGGTGAGTACGTATTGTCAATTGATTAAGAAAATTATAAATAAATACAACCTTATTGTCACTCTAGACTATCGTTAACGAAATATAACAAAGTGTATGCATATAGGAATATAACCATTTATTGTGTGGGAGAGACTGTGTCACTAAATTTTTTGGTAGAATTTTTAGGTAATTATTAATTTAAATATTAATTAAATATTTTTTAATTTTTAGATTTAAATATAGTCAAGAATTTTTTATTTTAGCTTCGTTCCAGTGTGAATACATATGTATGGAACATACTCACTGAATTTCGCCAACACTGGTTCACTCGTCACTCGTGTTAAAAAAATTCCCAGAAAGTAGAGGGATGATGCTCGGTTTTTCGCAAGATTCTCCTCGGAAATCATCCTCTCGAAGCACAAAACTCCTCGACCATTGATAAATGATATTGTCACTCGTCTTCCTCTAAGCAGCCGTCGTTGACTTACTCATTGCCTTCCCGTGGCCCAGTTCACTTCAACTCGCTTCTTTGTTGTTAGGCTTTTCATTCAGTGCTCAACAAACACTTCTTTTCACCATTGTTTCCGAGCTTTTCGGATTAAAATATTACGCCATTCTTTTCATTCGTGCTTAACGTGAGAATCGTCTCCGTCGGGAAAGTTTACGACGAAAAGGTGTTGAAGCAACAGGAGGCAAAGGGGTTGACGAGATCGATGGTGAAAGAGTTGACCTGCATTGGCAAAGAATCTTACACGCATGCTATCTTTCGTTTTGGCTCTTAGAACTCGTGGATACTATAGGGGAGATATTTGCAAAAGATTATAAAAATGGTGGCAAATGAGAAGGGGCTGGCCTTGGAATCAGCACACAAGATTCAACATAAATAGATTCGTAGTTTCGTACTATTAAATCTGTGGTGTTGGTTGCAAATATGGTCGCAGTTGTAGATGTTATGAATGTTAATGATTATCCGTTTATTGCATATGCTATTTATTTTCTAAAAATCAAAATATTTTTAATTATAAATGTAATTGTGATGTTATGATATATTTAAAAACCATTATGATGCGATTAGATCATTACATATGAATATATTAATTCAGAATGAGAAACTAATATTCGTAAGTTATTTGAGGAACATACATCCATTTTGAACCTTAATATAAGTTAAATAATGTATGAAAAAAATAATATCAGTTAAATATAATATTGTACGAGAGGTAATTATAAGATAATATCTATTCAAAAACCTTCCAATCATTTAACAATGAAAACTTAAACACCTTTGCATAAGTGATTCTCGAACTTAAGACTTTTAAAAATAATAATTATTCCTTTAACCATTGGAATCGCGTGATTTGCTTCAATATTGTGATAATCTTAAAACTCTTTAGTTGTTTAACATGAATGTACTCTCTTAATTGGTTGCTATTTAATTTTCATCCCATGTACAAAAATTATAGTCACAATACAAAGATTGATGAGACATCAGAATTTTTAAGTTATTTAAATTTAAAGAAAATAAATAAATTTAATATTCTAATAATTGAGCTGAACTCGAGTTATAAATTGAATCAAATTCAAGTATTATAATACCCAATTCAAGCGACTAACAAACTTAACCGAGCTATTCGTAAATATATATTTTAAATTACACAAATATTAATTCTTATTTTACATACAAAATGACAATTTAATTTGAATTAAAACTTGAGTCATTCAATTATATCTCAAACCAAACTCATATTTATATTTTGATGTTCAGTTTTTCTCGTTGGATATTATGCATTATTCATACAAAAATGAGTTGTGACCATGAGGAAGTATGTGCACACCGACTAGCATTTTTTCTTTATATATATAATTTTTGTCGATTTTACAGTAGGGGATGTAGCTCAGATGGTAGAGCGCTCGCTTAGCATGCGAGAGGTACGGGGATCGATGCCCCGCATCTCCAAGATGGTTCTTTTTAATTTTCTACAGCTTCATTGGTTTGGGTAACTTACATGAGTAGCGATTAAAGTATGGGTAAATTTTTCTATTCAGAACTAATTTTTTAAAAGTAACAAAACATCCACTGATATAAATATATAATCTTCATGTTTTTAACTTTTTTCCCTCTGCTCTTGATGTCCGAAAGGTTGCCTTTTTCACGGTGTTTGAGACGGAAGCTTTGGAGGCATTTGATGGTTTGTGTCAAGCTTGTGACAATGGTACTCGACAGGTGATCTTCGAGGTGGATAATTTGCTCATTCATATCAGGCTCGATGGTATACAAGATTTGCTGGGTAACTGTTGGAGCTTGTTAGCATGGGGCTGAATCCGAAGTAAGTTTCTACAATGTCTTTAGTTATTAATAAAAACCATGCATTTACGCTTGGACGAAGGAGATTAATCAGAGATTGGAAAAGGAGAAAATAAAAGCATTTGCACACAGAGAGGGTCACAAGGGTGAGGACATAAATCACGAAGCCGAGTGCCGAGTCGAAAGGGAATTTGGAGAGATCAGAGCACTGTTTGTGGGGAACGAGCACCGCCGAGAGATGTACATGAAATCGTTATCGATGGCCTCCCTAATGGACCGGTTATGGTGAAATGCGCTTCTTGGATTCACTCCGAATTTGAGAATCCTGAGAAGAGAGTATTCTTTGTAAACAAGGTCTGCTTCTCAGAGATAAAGCAGGTAACATTTTCGGCAAAGACCGCATACTCATTTATGCATAGCTTGATACATACAGCGTTTTCTGCGACGGAATCAACTTGCCTTCCCTCAAGGATCAAGGGTTTTGGAATACTGTCCTTCCTAGACTTTTCACGGCTATGACCAAGGGAGCGGAGATGCATGAGCTGCGGTTCGAGGCCCCCGATACCATGGCTAGTAAGAACTTTCGCGCGCTTCTACTCCTTTCTTCGGACTGCAATCAATCATAATAGCATTTACCGAGCAAATCAATTCTTCATTGACCTTCGATGCTTGTATACTTCATAAATCTACAAAGGAATATGAGAAGAACATATGTTGCTTGAATTGTTGCAAAATTAAAGTGTGAGGATTAAATTATAAGTTTTGAAATACTACAAACCTTTAACATATTTAAACCTATATATTAACGCTATTAAAAAATATACTTCCATATTTATTTTCTTCACTTACTCATAGTAGAGAAATGGCGGCACGGTAAAGCGAAACCCATAACCCTAGACAGAAGCTTTAACTTGGAAGATGGCATTATCGGTCTCTCTCAAGCCTTTCATTTCTTCACTCAATTGTTTCGATCCTATTCGCCACAACGTGAGTTCCTCCCCCCACCTTTTACCGTATTTTTCCTTCATTTTTCTCACAAAATGCTTAGCTTTCTGGTTGACAAAGAAAACTTTTGAAGTGAATCAGAGCGTATAATTCTCTTTGTTTTTTTGGTAATTTATTAAGAAATTTATGTTTCTATTGATTGCTGAATTCTATTGAGGCTTCAAAACTACTAATTTAAAACTCTAAATTGGATTTTCTTAACTGAATATAAGATATATTTACAATGTTTTGCCTGGTTCTGTTTGTTATTTATGCAGGATTCTTTGCTAGTAAATATCCCAAGAAGTTTTCAGGTTAAGAAGGAATTAACGTTAGAGGGAAGGCTGCAGTTGTCTGCCGCACAATTCAGATTGAACTGCTCAGGGAACAGGGGCATGGACGTTAGTGCTTCAGTTATGTCTGATTCCATAACAGACCATTTTACTGGTTTGTATCAATTTTTTCATGTATTGATGATTTATTTTCATCTCCATGTCTATAATGGTTGATTTATTTATTCATTTTGGTGTGTTGTAGAACTGGATGTTGAGGCTCAGGAGCCTAGCGTTTCAACACTTTTGGTGAATATCGATAGCGAGTTTGACCCTTATGGTGCAATGAGCACGCCACTTTACCAAACAGCTACGTTTAAGCAGGTAAGCCTATTGAAGTACGTTATCTTGGATTATCTTTTAAATGGTTACCTATATGCTACGCTCTAGGAAAAGAGAGAAATTACAATTTTCTGAATTTCTAGAGTGTGGGGTTTTAGTTAAAAGATTCTGCTTAGTTTCTAATTTTTCTTGCTGCTGCTTTCGAAGGTTGATTCGTTTGTTGAATTTCTTGCTCATTGCGTCAATTTTGAAGTTAATAGGTTGAACCATGAGAGTATTAGATAGATGATTGATATACAAGGTTGAATTGTTTCCTATGCTTTATCTTATTAGTTTTTATTGCTTTTCATGTAGCCTGCATTCTACCATTGGCTATTATTTATCTCTCTCTCTCCCTTTGTTATTCCCACCACAATACATAGTACTTTGCATTAAAATCTAAGAAATATATGCCTAATCTCTCTCTCTCTCTCTCTCTCTCTCTCTCTCACAAACAGAGACATATACTAATATAAAGCAAGACAGGAGTGGTTATTATCTATTTCTGGCCTAAATGTGGCATTTCAGTTGGCTGAGACTTTGATTACTGTTTCTTGTGCTTTGTTTTGAAGCCTTCAGCTACTGAAAATGGGCCCTATGATTATACTAGAAGTGGAAATCCTACTCGAGATACATTGGAAAGGTTTGATTTTGGATCCATTCTTTGCATGGTTGAAGGACTTTTATCTATCATCGGCAAAACCAAACATTTTACCTTCTTTCATGTACTATTCGGGTACTATAAGCTGTTTGTATTCTTATCTCATAGGCTCTTGGCAAAGCTTGAGAAGGCAGATCGAGCATTTTGCTTTACCAGTGGAATGGCTGCTTTGTCAGCTGTTGCTCAACTTGTTGGAAGTGGTACTTTTTTTTATACTCTTGTTTCCTTCTGAAGTATATTTCATTTGTGTTTTATAACACTTATAAATCTCTTACTACCTATTGAAACTGGCTTATTATGCTATTTCCTCATTTGCATTTCAATATTTGAATCCACTTGTTGCCCCTTTTACTATTTTTATGTAGTTATAAGATTCAAACTTTTTTCCTTTCTGTTCGTTTCTCTTTCCTGGTGCACATTTTTCTATGTTTGTGCGAGTTTTTAGTTTATGTAAAAGGTTTTCACTCCTTTCATGCATCTTAAGCAAACCCTAAAAATATGTATTTTTCTTCTTTTAGGCCAAGAAATTGTTGCTGGTGATGACATCTATGGTGGTTCTGATCGTTTGTTATCTCGTGTTACTCCAAAATCTGGCGTTCTGGTGAAGTTAGTATATTTTCTTTTTTTCATTGCTATCTCACTGCTCTAGAAATCTGAGATAAATTGCTTGAATTTTTAGACGAGTAAACACCAGTGATCTAGATGAAGTTGTTGCAGTTATTGGCCCCAACACGAAGCTTGTCTGGTTGGAGAGTCCTACCAACCCTCGACTACAAATTGCTGATATTCATGTGAGACATTTTTCTTTTCTCCAACAGATATCTTTTCACTGGAACGAATGTTTAGGGTTTTGTTAGTTCCTCAGTTACAGCGAGATATATTTAATTTGACTTTTTTGCTAGAATGCATTGGTTTAATACTGGATGTTCGATATGTTTTCTGTGCACGGGACCAGCGAGAGTGCGAGACCTTTGGTTAACCACCCGGTTGTATTAAAAAACAATTTAAATATTAAATAAGTATTATATATAGTAAATACTTAATAAAAATGTATTTGGCTAAATGGTACGATGATTAATATAGATTCAAAGGGCCAAAGATTCAATTCATAGTACATACAGTAAATTACTTTTCTAAAAGAAGTTTAAAAACGATTTCTACAGGTTATTGCCTATTTTTACTTCTTTGGATAGGCTCAATGATATGTACTGGATTGATAGACCACTGGTTTCCAGTTCATTCGGTTTGACTAGCCGGTCTGGTTTATTGACACTGGGTTTTATACTTTTAACCATTTTTATTGCGGTCTTATGTTTGCACACCTTTCTACTTAAGTTTGTTCTTTCTTTGCTAATATACTAAACATTCTCCCTTTTGATAAAAAATATTCTTTTTCTTGTCTAATTTCCAGAGAATATCAGAAATCGCTCATGCTAATGGGGCCCTTGTGTTGGTAGATAACAGTATTATGTCCCCAGTATTGTCACGACCATTGGAACTTGGAGCAGGTACAACAATATACATAGCTGTGGATTTAGTTTCAAATTTCCAGAGATTATTGGTGATTTTGATTTGTTCATCTTGTTTCAGACATTGTGATGCACTCTGCTACTAAATTTATTGCTGGACATAGTGATGTAATGGCTGGTGTGCTTGCTGTTAAAGGAGAGAGGTTTTAGTTCCTTCTCCATGCAATTTTTTGAACATCTTTGAGGCCATATGCATCTTTAAATTCATATTATACATTTAAAGACCAATCGATATTTGATGGGTTTAAGTTTTTTATAACCATTCTCTTGGGTTTAAGGAGAAATTCTGATTATTCATTTATAAGAAAATGATCTCTCTTAAATAGATATTTACAATGTCTAAACTAGGAAATTACAAAAAATAAGAAAGACTACTAATTTATAGGGATTCTTTAATCATTTAACTAATATTCTATTTAGGCTAAGTTCCAGCTAATAGCTTCACTTGGTAAAAGTGTCCACAATAGGAACACTCTTTTCTCTCGGTATCTCTATCATATCTAATCTCTTCTTACTCTTCTATGCTCATCCAAATGTCAATATTGTGACTTCGTTATTTAAAATAAAATTAATCAACTTGTACTGCTTTAAAAAAAATTATAGAATACAACCAAAAAAGTCTTCATATTTTCAATCTTGCATCTCCCAACTTTTTTATTTTATAATTCTACAAATTTCAATGAATTATACATATAACGTTGCTCTTAGAAAAATGTTCTGTTAATTAATTTAATTGGTCAGGAGAGATGGTTAAAAAGCTAAAAAATATGAGCGCGTTAGGTAGAGAGAGAGAGAGAAAAGTCGAAAATTTCCATTGATGCTGATGAGGAATGGACAGTGTTCATTGATAATCTTAACAAGAGTGTTTCCAGAGGGGTGTTAAGGAATTATTTTAGTCCTTATGGTCAGATCTTGAGGATTTTCATCCCTCGTTTTTTAGAAAAACCAAATTATAAATCTTCTACTTTTGCTTTCGTCTAATATGCTCGTGAGGAAAGTAGAAACAAGGCAATCCGGTTCGTGAATGGTAAGTGGCTTGATGGAAGAAGAGTCTCAGTAGGGATCGCTAAGTATCAAAAGGTTAAGAGAAGGGAAGCTGTGGAGGGGAAGAGAATGTTGGAGATCAGGTCTGAGATTAAGGATGCATCAGGATCGGGGAGGAGAGCTGTGTCGTTGAGAAGCTTGAGAGATGACAGATCGTATAAGGATGTGGTGAACTCTGATTATGATTTGAGAAGAAAAACAGTATCAGGGGCAAACTTGTCGGGTAACAAGCAGAATGTACCAACTGTGAGAAATGTTTGGGACATGCATATTCCATCAGATAATTCGGAATGGGTTAAACGTTCATTATCAGGGATAATGAAGTCTTCTTTTGAACATGACTCGGTGAAGGACGCTCTGGAGTTAGAAGGCATGGAAGTTCAGGTTGTTAGATGGGGTTATGCATGGAATGCATGCATAATTACTTTCAACTCGGTGGAGGAGGCCTCACATGTATGGATGAATAAAAAGGAAAAGTTGTTCTTATGCTTTGATTGGTTAGCCCCAGTTTTGAACGAGGATGGAGTTCCTTCGGCACTTTGCTAGATTGAGTTATTTGGATTGCCTTTATTGTGTTGGAATGAGGCATTCTTAAGAAAGCTTACAAGGAAGTGGGGTCAGTTTCTATGTTTTAACAAAGATTCAGAGAGCAGATCGGACCTCTCGACGGCAAAAGTTCTGCTTAGGGTGGAAAGTCCTTATGATGTTCCTGATAAAGTGACGATTGGTTCGTATGGTAGATCGTTCAAAGTTACGATCACACTGGGATCTGTTTTGATTAAACCAGAGGAAGAAGCGGGGAGGAAGATGGAAAAATTTTCAAAAAAAAGGAACAGTGGTTATGCCGTGTCTGAGGAGGGAACTGGCAGACATCCTACTCTGGCTGAAGACAGGGATGAGTCCGCAGAGGATGTTAGGCTTAAAGTCATTTCTTGGCTGAATTGTGGGCAAAACAGTGGAGTGAATGGAGTCGGTGGGGGACATGTCCAATCGAGTAAGTCAACAGCAGATAAATCTGATTGTGGGCTGTCAGGTTTCTTGGAAAATAAGACAAGTCAGAATGACAATCACGTGGGCTTGGGATTGAGAGATACAATTGATCCGGTAGACTCAGTGCAATCTGAGGAAAATGAGGTTGCATTATTTCGAATTAAAAAATGGGTTCCCAGTGGGCCTGCATTTAATTTTAAATGGGTTGGGGACAAGTTTGCCTTACAGCCCAATGCCAGTTCTGCAATTCACTTGAGTGCTGCTGATGAGGGGGAGGATAGGGGGGCGAAAGTCAATTTTCAGGGGGAGAAGGAAGTGAATCCATGTGAACAGGGAGATGTAATAAGAAAACATAACTATATTGGTTCAAAAAGCCTGGAGGGGGACCACATTATTAGTTTGCAGATTGATAATGATGCAGAGGGGTTTAAATGTACAATTGATAAATCGGAAGGTGGTAAGCAGATGGAGAAGGTTATGAATGATAATTTATGTAACTCTAATGAGGAAATCTTCTCAAGTTCGAGTATAAAGAATAGAAATAATGAGATTCAAGAGGGAAGTACTTCATGCCACAAGAAAGATGATCAGTTTAAAGTAAAGGAAAGTCATCTAGTTCCTATTAATCAGCAGGATCAGTGTATTCCTCGGTCTAAAAGCCTTACTAATAAGCGAAAGTTGAGAATTGCACCTCGTCGATCGGGAAGTGTTTGCTCGGATACTGAAGTGTCTATCAGCTTCTATGATAGAGTTTATAGAAAGGTTCTTAGAAATAAGGTCAGGGAGTCAGTGGAGCAAGTCAGGGAGGTATCTCAGTCTTCACAATCTTCTGTTAAAGCTAGGATTGAAGCTGCTGCTACTAGGGAGGTCTGTGAAATGTTGGGGATCACCTTTAAAGGGGCAGCAATTATTAGAGGAGGGGATTTTTAGGATGGAATTGAAGGGGTCTTCTCAATGACCCTAATGGTTTCTTTGGTTTGATGTGGAGTTTATGATTGTCAATTTTATGTCTAAGTTAAAATTAATCTCATGGAATATTAGAGGTCTTGGGAGAAGAGAAAAAATAAGAGCAGTGGCCAGACTCGTTACTAGAGAGAAGCCGTTTATCCTATTCTTACAGGAGTCAAAACTGAATGTCTGTAAGAGCAATTTATGGAGGAGGTTAGGAGGTAATCTATTGAAAGGTCATGTCTTTCTTCCAGCTGAGGGTTCTGCAGGAGGTCTGATAAGTTTGTGGAATGACAATGTTTTTGTGGTCAATGTTGAACATAAACATAGCAGATTCATAGCATTAACAGGAAAGTTCAAGCTGTATAATTTTGATTGTGTTTTAATAAATGTATATGGTCCAGCAGTAGAAGCGGATAAAGAGGAATTCTTTAGGGAGCTGATGTGTTTTGTGCAGTGTTTTAATCTGTCAGTCTGCATAGGAGGGGATTTTAATGCTTATTTGGATACAGAGGAGAAATGCGGTGTAGCTCAAAACTGGCATTCCATGGATTTGTTTAGATCCTTCGTTCAACATTTTAATCTTATGGATTTACCATTAGTTAGAGGAAGATATATTTGGTGCAACAACAGAGAGTCTCCTACTTGGGTAAGGCTTGATCGGTTTATTATCAGTGGTTCATTCCTAAATCAATTTCCTAATATGATCCAAAAAATGTTCCCAAAATCCCTTTCGGATCATAATCATGTGGTGTTAGTAGAAGAATGCAATAATTGGGGACCAAAACCTTTTCGATTATACAACTATTTGTTAGAGGAATATGGGTTTGTTGAGTTGATTGAAAATTCATTGTCTACGGTGAAGAAGGCGAATGGTCGATGGGGTCTATTTTCTTTACTTCGAGGAACAAAGCAGAAGATCAGGGATATGCCTTTTTCGACTCAAAAGGGGATTTCTGAAAAATTTATCAACTAGAAAACTTGATTAATGATCTGGAATTCAAATTGCAAGAAGGAGGGATTTCCATTCAAGAAAGGGATTGTTGATTCTGTCCAGGAATGAATTATGGAAGTTGCATAGGAGGGAAGAGAGTATTTGGTTACAAGATCAAGATTGAAGTGGATCAAGGATGGGGATAGGAATACAAAGTTTTTCCATTTAACAGCATTAAATAGAAATAGAATGAATTCAATTTTGGCCCTGAGAGTGGCTGATGAAGAAATTTCTGATCCGGAGAAGCTGAAAAAATTTGTCTTTGAGTATTTTAAGGAGAACTACATCTCTAAAAATACGCTGGAGGTAGAGGACATTAATCTCAATTTCATGACATTATCAGAGGAGCAGAAAAATGGACTTGAGGTACGGTTTTCAGAACAGGAAGTTAGGGAAGCAATGTTTCACTCGGACAACTCCAAAGCCCCGGGTCCAGACGGCTTCACGATGGGTTTCTTTAAAAAATTCTGGCATGTTTTGAAGGATCATTTAATGAAGTTTGTGGATGACTTTCACAGAGGGATGAGTTGGGAGCATGGGGTCAACCATGCTTTCATTACTTTGATTCCTAAAAAACTCAACCCTGAAGTTATTGAAGATTACAGACCAATTAGTCTTGTTAGATGTTTGTACAAAATTATCTCTAGGATCTTATCGAGGAGATTGGTTTCTGTTATTAAAGTTTTGATCAGCCCATTGCAGTTCGCCTTTATTCCGGGTAGGCAGCTCATTGATTACGCTTTTATGGCAAATGAATCTATAGATTACTGGATGAAAAAAGGAAGGAAAGGAGTTGTTTTTAAAGTAGATTTTCGCAGAGCCTTTGACTCAGTGGAATGGCAAATTATTTTGAGGTTATTGAAGGTAATGGGTTTTGGAGACAAATGGATTTCTTGGATGGATTATTGTATTTCTTCTGCTTCAATTTCAGTCCTAATTAATGGTTCCCCTATTCAAGAATTTCAGATAGGCAAAGGGGTGAGACAAGGTTGTAGTCTATCTCCTCTTCTGTTTAATATTGTTGGGTTTGTAGCTAATGGTTGGGTTTGGAACATTCAGCTAAGGAGAAATCTTTGTGACTGGGAATTGGATCAGTGGCTTTCCTTAATGGTTTTGATTGACAACATAACACCGAATGAATCAGTGGATGATTTTCTGGGGTGGTCGGGGAAAGGGGATGGTTTGTTCTCGGTAAAATCTTGTAGAATGACTATCTCAAGCAGAATTGGAGGACATTTTCAATGGAAGAAATGGGTGTGGTCCGGATTAACTCCTCCTCAAGTGGAAACATTTCTATGGCAGTTTACTCATCAGAAATTGGCGGTTAGAGTGGAATTGAAGAAAAGAGGGGTCAATCTTGATGATGTTTTGTGCCCTTTTTGCCACAAATATGAGGAATCAATTCCTCATCTGTTTTTTTCATGCTCAGTTGCAGAGGAGTTGTGGTATAGATTTTTAAGGTTTTGGGATATCTCTTCGGTCATGCCCCAAGATCCTCCTTCCTTTCTTTGCTCTTGGTCTTATCTAAGGGAGTGTTCTAATATTTGGAAATTCATTCCAGGTGTTGTTCTATGGTCTATTTGGAAAGCTAGGAATGCAGTGGTTTTTGAAAACTGGACATTAGATAATTCATCCCTATTCTTCATTTCCAGGTTTAGGCTGGCTAAATGGTTTTTAGTGAAATTTCCTCAGGTTAATATTCAGGTTGACCTACTAGTAGGGGATCCATCGCTTGCAGACAATTTGCCTATAAAATCCTACAATAAGGAGAAGGTTCTTAACTGGTCTCCGCCTCCTTCGGATTTCTTTAAATTCAATGTTGATGGAGCGGTAAGAGGTGATGGGCTGCAGGGAGGTATTGGGGGAGTCTTGAAAGATTCAGAATGTTCTACTTTATATACCTTTTCTTTTGCGGTGGGACCTGGTCCTCCTATGTTAGTTGAGCTGAAAGCTATTAAAACAAGGGATTGATCTATTCATTTCTTCCGAATGGGCTTTGAAGGGAAGACTAATCCTTGAGACAGATTGTAAAACAGCAGTTGACTGGATTTTGATGCCATTTTCTGCCCCTACTTTTTTCAATACTTTAGTTGGGGAAATTGGGGCCTTAGTTTCTGCTAGGGGTATTATTGTTAGATGGATTCCTAGGACATGCAATTGGGAGGCTGGTAAGCTAGCTAAAGAGGGTATTGGTTGATGTTTGAGCTTTATGGTTGTTTTGGTTTGTATTATATTTCGGACAGTTTATTTAGTAAGTTGTAATCTTATGTAATCATGGTTTATTAATATAATGAGGTACTCTTTTCATCCTTCCCGCTAGTTGCCTCTTTCACAAGAGCCAACTATGAGGGAGGTTTTTAATGAGACCTCCTATTCCTATAAAAAAAATTAATTTAATTGGTCATATTTCCTCATGTTTCCCTTCCAGATTCCTGATATCTTTTGTTTTTTGGCTTACTTTCACTAGCTTGGCAAAGGAGTTATATTTCCTACAAAATGCAGTTGGCTCTGGGTTAGCTCCTTTTGATTGTTGGATCTGCTTAAGAGGCATCAAGACAATGGCTTTGCGTGTTGAAAAACAACAGGTGATGCTTTTGACATTTTTTTGTTGCAGCATGTGTCTTTGCAAAATATTTATTTAGCATACGGATGCTGCTTTGTTTTGATGTTTGCTATATTCTTTTTATTGACACTATATCGCAACTTGCTTCATGTTGGACTTGCAGAAATGGAATAACATAGAGTTATCACTTTCCTATTCTTATACCATATTATTTAATAAATCGAAACAGATGTGACTGATTTTGACAGTCAGTTTGAGTAAACTTCTGAAAGCCTGGATATGGGGTAAAGGATTCTGAATTCACAATTCCCTCCATGCATTATGTATTGCGGTGTGCTGAATTCTGTCAACTAAATAGCCTATTTTAGTTTATTATATGTTTCGGCGCATGAGTTTGATTTATTATCATGGGCTTATATAAGGCTCCACTTCTAACAGGGGGAAGGAGATTCGTCCCGTACTAGGGTGTCTTCCTGGTTCTTACCTTTATCTGCATGGAACTTTTAAGCCCCCTCCCAATTGATAGAGCGTTAAAAGGGAAAGATCTCATCAAAGTACCCTTGATGTTAAGATTTGTACTTACAAATTAGACATATTATATCACCATTAACTGCATGTAAACATCATGTTTGCAGTGATAATCTACTTTTAGTTATGTTCCGGCCTTAGCAGTTTTTCTAATCTCGCTATGTTACTATTCTCCCCATAATTTTAACAGTTGAAATTTGCTCAAATTCAAACTTGAAACTAAGGTTTCTGAATTTCCTACAGGAAAATGCACAGAAAATAGCCGAGTTCCTTTCTTCCCATCCACGTGTGAAGAAAGTTAACTATGCTGGTCTTCTTGGTCACCCTGGACGTGATTTACATTATTCTCAGGTACCGGACATGGAAGTAATTCCCATTTCAACATCAGCGTGTCTAATGTACGTACATAAAATACCCTAATCTTGGTTTTGCAGGCAAAGGGTGCAGGGTCCGTGCTTAGTTTCTCGACAGGTTCTCTTGCCCTCTCGAAGCATGTTGTTGAGGCGACTAAATACTTCAGCATAACTGTTAGTTTTGGTAATAACACTTCCTAGCCTCGCTTTCTTTATAAATTTACATGCATAAAGCCTAAAATGATTACCAAAATCTTAATTCTATGAGGATCCAAATATTTCTCCCAAAACACGTAATGCATTTATTAATTACATTACTCGAAATCTTGAAACTTCTTCTGTGACAGTATTTTCCTGTGACCAAAGATACCCCATGACCAAAGATATTTGATCATGTGATCATTTTTTACTTGCTAAATGTGCATGCTTTCATGGATTATTGTTTCATATTTTATATCGAAAGCCATTACTTTGAAACTTAGCCTGTTATGTATTGTTTGGTTTCTACTGGAAGTAAGGCTTTGCTGTTACCTAAGATGTATTTTTATGATTGTTCAATAAAATTATGAGACTCTCTTTTCCTCCTTTCAATGCTCGACGAAACTTTATATTTCGTTGAGTGTAAAGGGGTTTTTTAATGAGGTCTCCCTATTCTATCCAAAAAAAAAAAACTTAGCCTGTTATGTTGCTCTGACTCTTCATGTTTCTTGAAGTGCTCATATCCGATACCCATTTCCAATATATGTGATCCTTCAAGTTCCCTCCAAATGCATGGAGAAATTTATGAAAATTAAACATATCTATGTCGAACATCGGCCCGAGTCCTTGTAACTTAGATTGTAGTTAGATTTACTGCTAAGAAATGTTCCTGATTGTTGAATCACTGCTGTGATGGAAACTAAACTATGTGATTGTGATCAATAATTTTAGGGAGTGTGAAATCCCTCATAAGCTTGCCGTGCTTCATGTCCCATGCAAGCATACCTAGTGCGGTGCGTGATGCAAGAGGTTTAACGGAAGATCTTGTTCGAATATCCATCGGTATCGAGGATGTAAACGACCTCATTGCCGATTTGGACAATGCCCTTAGAACGGGTCCTCTGTAGTTGCTGCCTGATGAAGAAGAAGTGGAGATTAAGCCATCAATGTTATATGGTGAAATGTTTAATGGAGTGGAGTTTGCCAATAAATAGTGGTGTTATTTTTTTTGGTTTCTTTTAGTAGTTCAAAATTCTTCATTTTCTTTTATTTGAAATTTATGGGCGCAACTCGTATTAGAGAAATACATATATAACCCTACTATTTATTAACTAGTTGATCTAGTGGAAAGGTAATAGATTTGAATTTTTTTCTTAAACAAGGTAAGTGATTTGAATCATTACATTGTGAACGAAGTATCTAGGTTAGAAGGACTGTTCTCATAAATAAGTTTATATAATAATTGATTTGAATTAGCCAATTATTAAATTGAATATTGGTGGTTAAATTAAAATATATATATCTTATCGTTAGTAGATAATATAACATATTATCAAAATTAAAATTAAATTAAATTTATTTTAAGATGTATCTTCATCTGGTTGAATTATTGTTTGGTTGATGAAATTTAGAAAATTTACAATGTTTATAGGTAGATACTAACATGTGTATGATAATGATCAATATATTAAAAGAGAATAAATAATAATAATTAACTGAAATTCAACCTATATTAAACGTCTCACTGTATTTACTTATGGCTTGGATCATTGAGTTTTTTTGTACACTAATAATTACTATAAATTTTTTTCAAAGTTTTAATAAAATTTTCATAAGTATAGGAGAGTTATATTCTAGTGTAAACGGTAAAAGTAATTTTTAACAAATTATTAACAATATATAAAACTTATCCCCTTACAAGGGATAACTTAATTAAAGAAGGCCAAAACAATTATGACATTAAAAGTAACTTGAGGGCTAAAATTGGTAATAAAATAAATTAGGTAGTCTAACATATTTCTTAATTCAATTATGGGAGAGATGGAGATTTTTTAAATAAAAAAATAAATTTTAAAATAATTCAAAGTCTTTTTGACGTATTTAAATAACTTTTTATTAGGAATGATGTTTTTTTTAAATACACATTAAAAACTCTAAAAGAAGAATAATGATGTTATTAGGAGTGAGAAACTTGACTCAAACTTTAATCGAATTGGTATTCCTATTTTATAACTCAAATTTTCTATAATGATATGATACTAATTGATTTCAATTTAAACTACTTTCTATAACCATATACGATATACATATGTATCTCTTAATATTTTTTTCATATACAATATACATATATATCTCTTAATTTTTTTCCATATAAGATATACATATCATGCAAAGTTGAGAAACTTCACTCGAACTTGAGAATCAATCCACTAATTATTAAAATTTTGAGTTATTCAAGTCATGTTTTATAATTCAAACTTTTATTTTAAAAAATTGAGTTGTGTATAGTTTATAAAATTAAGAGTTGAATCAAGTCGAGTCAAATCAAGTTTTTAACGTTGAATCGAATTGAAAAAAATTGATTTTTCAAGTCAAATCGAATTTACCCGGTAAATATTAGGGCACGAATGGGTGCATAGAGAAAGGGCATGGCCTTCTGCCGATTCCAGGCCGAGAAGCAAGAAATTTGGGTTTAGAAGGCAAAGCAAAAGAAGCAGCAAGAACCACAAAATATTAAATACTAAACACCACAAGGGAGAATTAGGAAGAAGATAAAAACAGAGAAAGATGCAAAAACTCCATAACCCCATAACCAAATCACGAGGAAGAAAGCCAATCAAAAAAAAAAATGCTCTACTGGGTACTCATCCAATACTTTGGTTATTTTGTAATGTTATTTTCTCCTTTTTACATTCTTTTGCATCTTTTTATATAATCATTAGTAGTCGATTTATTAATCAATTAATCCGGATCAAATATCGTAAAGGAGAGGACGACTCTCTTTATTCAACTTGCTCCATTCACAAACGCTATAATTTGAACATTTAACCTTATTTAAGAGATCTAATGTCTTGTTCCACTAAACTAACTATGTAATATTCGAGAGGAGATATTGTCCCTCTCAAAAATTTTGTCGAATGACACTTTAGGTCTCTATTACTTTAAATATCGATCAAACAAAGCTTTGGCCACTCCAATTTTTAGGTTTAAATCGTATTGAATACCTATTCTTTTGAAGTTAAACAAGTTAACCCCTCTTAGTGTTTAATTATAGCTTTTTCCCTGAAATAAAAGTTTAATTGTTAAGCCAAAATTTTAAAAAAATATTTATATCATAGTTTAATTTTCTTAAATTTGAATTTGAAATTGACATAGACTATTTATACGAAAACAATGACAACATTGCTTATTTTGTCTGATATATAGGGATCTAAAAAATATTTAAACTGAAAAATAGGATCAAAGCTTAAGTTTTGTGGGTTAAAAACTAATAGGGACTCAAGAAGTAAATAAACCTAAAATTTAGGGAGACTGGGACTTAATTTATACTTTAGAGGCCTAAGATGTGGTTAAATCTAAAGAAATACTTTTGGAGGGGATAACCCCTCATATGATGAACATAATTCGATTGATAACAAAGATTGATCATAGAATAATTTTCTTGATTCAATTAATTTATTTTTGAGTTGGAATGCCTTAACCCTTGTATTTCTTTACATTGTTAGGCAAAAGCTGGGTCCGACATGAAATTTAATTTTAATGCAGGGTTTGGTAGAATTAGATAATAGTATACCTTAACTTACTATTTTCATTAATTCCTTCTTCTTTTTTTCCAGTTTACTTTTAGGTCAAACAATTTTTTTATGAAAGTTTGTGTATTTAATTTAATCATAGGTCTACAAATTTGAATTTTACACATACATGTCATATGGGTAAAGAAGCTATGTGAGTTTCAAATAAATAAAATCATAAAAATTAAACACATATGGAAATAACACGTGAACAACATGCATTAACAGTTAATCAACTAAATATTTTTATCCAACAAGAACTATTTTGACCCCCAAAAAAAAGTAAAAAACGAGGACTAAAATGCTCCAAAAAAACTGTAAAGATTAAAATAATTATTTATATAAACATTCATGACTAATTTTATCATGTCTTATCATTAACCAGTTATATTTTATATGAAATACATGATTTCTAGGTAACTAGTGGAGTTTCTTTTTGTTATTAGGGGTTTAAAAACCTTGAAATATAATAACACTAGCCTGGTCTTAACAACACAATTAATTTGGTGGTGCGTCTATTTATAGTTTTTTTTAACATTAAAATCTATGTATATTTAAGCGTATATATATCACTTGGAGGTTAGTTCATTATTATTATTATTATTTTCCCTGCAGGAGTGAGCGAGAGTTTGATAACGGAGATCTTCCATTTTGTTTTCTAGTTGTTGCAATTGCGCCGGTGGTGGTGCTTTTAGGGATGGTGGCTCCGGCTGCAGTAGCTCAAGATTGCTATCCGCTGGGTGCCCCATGCTATGGTGATTAGGAGTGTTCTATGGCTTATGCGCCAGTATCGGGGGACGTGATGTTTGCGCTTAGTCTTCTATTTGAGCGTGGAATAAAAAAATAAATATAGCAGTTATTACTTGTTGCTTTTGTTGGCAATAAATGCACCTACTGCAGTTGATATATTTGATTTTATGGATCAAGTTCGAGTCTTTGTGTATACGAAAACCCCCAATTAAAAGACTTATCCACCCTTTACACTCTTATTTATATTTTACTTTCATCACCAAACCATTTCATTCAAAATTTAATTACGTTATACTTTTTCATTTTAATATCTAATTGTTAGAAGATTAAGAAAGAAGATGATATCTCTAATATAATAATAGTTTTAATCTCAAAATTTATACAATCTACAAATTTGATCTTATGTTGAAATAATTCAATGATTTTAATAATCAGACTTTAAAAATAAGTCAAATTAATAGATTTTTTTAAATATTAAAAGTTATATTTATGAAATTGTTTCAAATTTAAATTAATTCGATATAATATATTCTTTTGGAGACACCTATTATTATATAAAACCATATCTGTCAGTGACCAAAATGGAGAAGACGTAATGTTAATGGTCAAATTTTGAAAAAATAGTTTAATGACTAAAATAGGATATATATAATAATTTAATGACTAATAGTGTAATTTACCCTTACTTATTTCACCTTTGGAGTTCACTATCAGAGCCACGCTTTTCATCTTTCTCGCCAAAAAAAAAAAATCATTTCAAAACAAAAACACCAACCCTCAAAGAAAGCGATTTTCTCTCTGGTTTTTCATTTATGCAGAAAAATCCGAGGAAAAATAGAAAATTTCGAAACTTCGATTGAAAGGATAGATATGTCGTCGAAAGGGAAGGAGAAGGAGGTGGTTTATGGGAAACGGAAGGTCAGCGCCGGAAGAAGCGGAGGCGGAACGGAGGAGAGCCGTCGGAAACGGAGGAACCGGGGAGTGCTTCAGTTCTTTGAAGACTCTGCTGAGTATGATGTTAGTGACGCCAGCGATTACAGCGATGTCGATGATTGTAAGGCTGATCTGATCGATGTTTTCTTTGTTTTGTTTTTTTTTGTGATGATTTTTATGCTTCGTTTTGGAGGGTTGCATCTTACGGCCGCTTATTTCTGCGATTTTTAGGGCTTTTCCCTTTGATTTTGTTCATCATTTTGGTTTTTAGGGCTTTTGGTTGTGGAGGTCCTTGACTTTTAACCGTCAAAATGGTTTGTCATTTGTTTTTTCTTTTAAATATTTTTGGAGGATTTTTTTACTTTTAATATGTTGCATAATTTGGAAGAGTATATTTAAAAAAAAACTGGAACTATTGATGACATTTTGTTGCTTCTGCATGAGTAATCATTTTAGGGTGTTTGGTTATGAAAGTGGTTTATTGTGCTTGTATTATCATCCTTGAGTTTTTGTGATGAATTTTTTTTGGTTGTTTGGTTGTGAAAGTGGTACTGATTAAGTAAAGAACAATCCTTTTATCATATTTTTGCAAGAAGAACCAGATCTTGATGTAAATAATAATCCCTGGAAAGCCCACAACTTTCCATTTGTCCCCAAGGAGAGGTGATCGAGGAGAGTTTGACAAAATGATGGAGGAGAGGTACAGGGATGGTGCTAGGTTTGAGACGTTCGAGGAAGATTATGAAGCCAAGGGATCAATTGTCAAAAATTCTACCTTGCCTCCGGCCAAGGA